GTATGGGAGTATTGGGGGACGCTATGGGGGTGTTGAATGTGTTATTGGGGGTTCTGGACCCCTTTTTTTTTTTTTTTTTTTTTTTTTGCGGGGTACCGACGACCCCCGACCGGTAGGTGCCGACCAGCCGATCGGTTGGCGGGTCGGCAACTGACTTATAGGGACTTTTTTTGTTGCTGTAGATTGTAGGCCCGTTGTCTTCTTTTTCCGTTTTATGCCTGCTTCGGTCCAGATACAGCGGGTCCGTAGGCTGTAGATTTTGGTCTGTCCTAAGCAGTAGAAAAAAGACCCGTCCGTAGTCTAGGTCGTCCTTACAAAAGTCAGGTCTACGATTTTGGACGGGTTCTGTTCTCAATTTCCTTTTCTACAAAGTGTTGCTGAAAATGGTGCTGGATGCTGCGCTATGCGGGCATCATCATACTGTTTGGGTTTGCTGGCGGCCATAGCTGGGCCGGGCCAGATTCTTGAAGGCAGTGTTTGCAGGCCCTGGGCACTGTAGGGCACCTCTTCGTCTGGTTGCTGTTGGGGCTAGACAGGACTGCCCTAGAAGCTCTCCATCAGAGTTCTCCTCGAAGCCATCTTCTTCTTCATCAAGTCATTGGTCTACTTCTGCATCCTGGGAGCTGTGCTCCCCTGTTGGGCGGACACTTCATCTGCAGTGGGCATCGTGGTTTTGCAGAGTGGTGTCGAGTTCAGGAGGGGGGGTGGCGATCAGTGGGCTTGTTGGGTTGGGCACCTTGTTGCCATAGCTAGAGCTCGAGGTTGAGGGAGGAAGAAGAAGTCTCACCAGTGGTTGATGAGACTGTACTTTAATTGGTCCGGTGGGTGTTGATAACGTGGTTGGGATCCTGGGAACTTCGTGCTGCTGATTGAGTTGGAGAGGGACGGTATTCATGAGAATTGATTAAATTCAATTCTATTTTTGGTTTGTGAGCTTCCACTGTGTATTCTCCTCATCTGGTTTGGTATGGATTGCTCTCTCCAAGTCTACTTGTCATTGTGCATGTGTATGGGAACATGTGAATGGCATGCTGGATTCATTTTCAATCAGGCATATACGGTCCTCCCTCTCCTCTTCCCCCATCCCTGTCTTGTGCCATGCTCCTTCCCTTTCATCTTCCCCTCCTCCCCTGACGTTGTGCTACACTTAGCCCCCCTCTCCTCTTCCCCCATCCCTGTCTGGTGCCATGCTCCTTCCCTTTCTTCTTCCCCTCCTCCCTTGACGTTGTGCTACACTTAGCCCCCCTCTCTCTGCTTCCTCGTTGTCATTCCATGCGTCCCCTTCATCTCTCTTCTCCCCATCCCTGACATTGACCCGTGCTCCTTCTGCTCCCTGACATTGTGCTATCCTTAACCCGCCTCTCTCCTTTTCTCCCCCTGACGTTGTGCCATGTTTCCACTGCTCTTCTCCCTCCAATTGCACCCATACTGTTGCACATCACCTCAGCTTCTTCTTTGACTAGCCCCCCCGGGTAGTACTGTCCCTTCTCCCTCTATCCCGATTCGCCCACTCCGACTCGCCCACAGTGGCCATACCTTTTCCCGGTCCAGACTCGCCCTTTTTATTAAATTCCGATTTAGACTCGTCCATGTTCTCCTCTGCCTCCCCATTACCTTTTCCTTGACTTTGTTTATCCGGATTCCCACCCCGATGTTGTTCCTTTCCTTTCCCTTCCCGTTTCTTTCCACTGATGTCTTCTTTCTTCGCAGTTGTTGCTGTGCCTCGTCCTCCTTCCTTTGGCTGTAATCATGCATAGCAGTTCAAGGTAGAGACAGTGAGCTTCCGACTTCAGGGGCGCTTTCAAGTGGAGGTGGGGGGGGGCGGAGGTAGACATATAGATTGAGGGATAGAGATATAGATGAATGGATGGATGGATGGATGGAATGGAATGGAATGGAATGACATCGCATGG